AAGATGTAGTTATCACATTAGTTCAGCTGATTTCTGCTTAGATTAGAAGGCCGTAATCATACGCTTCCCTTTCCTTTGACTCACTTCAACTCTTGCTTTCAACAAGTACCATCTCATACCTTTAGGTATGCATTTCTACCATTATGTAAATTTACTACTTGATGGTTGTTATATTTATGTGACGTGTTAATTTTATTGTAATATTAACTACAGTTCTTTGAATATCCTCGATGACCACTTGCAGTGTCAAGTTGATGAACGGTCTGAATAAGTTAATTGCGTCAAAAGCCATTGTGTCACTGAAGAGGTATATAATATATATTTCGCTGGAGGGCGTTGAACATTAACTTCCAAGGGTAAACAAAATTCAGCCAACTTCGGTCATTAGTGACAAGTTCTACGGACATAACTCCGAACCTATTTAGCCGCTGAACGCCACATCTGATATTCTTGGTATGCATATTTTACCTGCAAGGCCAAACATTTTGATTCGACGTTCGGGCTGTTCACTGACACCAGAATTATCTGTACACCCGTAACGTGGTTTAGAAGAAGTTCCCTCGGCAAAACCTGCAATAAGTTAGTTTGGAGGCGATGACAAAGACGCTGGTTAAGTACCAAGTTTTCTAGAAGAATTTTCGCTGCTTCAAGACAACACTTCTCTGCGGCCTGAAAATTCATTGTTCATAAGTTCATAATTCATAAGTGTAAAAACAGCAACAGTGATCAACAAGTTTTCGGAACTGGTATAGCAAACCATCATACGGAAAAATTGGTTGCGGGCGGCGGAAGTGAAGGAACATCGCCCATATTTATCCCTGAAGGAAACAAAGTAAATAGTTTCTCCGTCCTTTCTTCTTCTCACTGAAGAGGGTCAACCTCTCTCGGGGGAAGTGAACGCGAAAGACTTGAACACTGCTTGATTGGTAATGTTTGGCAATGGAAAAGAAGAGTAACAACGTTCTCGCCACTTGGATGACCAAGAGAGGGAAATCAGGCGTTACGAATTTGCTTCAACACATGCACATTCGCACTGGCATCACTCTAAATGATTGGAAACATCTGCCACTTTGTCGCACCACAACATGTAGAAAAGGAGCGGTGGCATTGTTTGGCTCTTCCTATCAATTGAACCATCCCCGTGATTATCACGTTCCTCAACGTCCTTATAGTCACTATGGCCATTATTAATAGGAAAATTGACATAATTTTGGGAAACATTACTTTAAATACCGCAAAAATTGCCAAACAGCTACTTACTCCGGCTGAACGGTACTTCAAAGAAGTATTGCGATGAAACATCGACGTGAAACGACTATTGTGTTGCATGGACATCTCGAAAAGCCATCTCTGAAGTATGGAAAGAGTTCCGAGCATGTATTCGAAGCCACTGTATTCAGCTACGAACTCTTCTGCGAATTCTTTGGTATACCTGCCAAGAAACGTACATCAGCAAGCGAAGGTAGTTTTCCACCCCTGGTTACAGTAAAATTCTGACACCCGTATATCTCAGAAATTAAAAGAAATTCCAGAGCATAGTTGAATAACCAGTTTATCGACAATAACTTAAATCGTTCGATTTTGACATCAAACATGATTCCTGCGTACATTACTTTCAAATTCAATGATGAGTTCATGTATCCTACAGTATTTTTAGATTTTGACATCAATGGAAGACGCAAGAAATCAAATGCAGCATTAAAGTGGAGGAAACAGGCATAACAAGGCATCCGACATTATTGCTGACATTGCACACTAGTCTTAGGAGGAGTTAAAATGTGGTCAGAGCAGAGGTGTTCCATCCGGAAGCCGGCTTGATTTAGGACAAAGCTTCCCATCACCTGTTGGCCACAGGCTTTCCATGACAATCCGGGAGAAGCATTTTGTCAGTGTTGATAGCAGAGTAGCATCAAGATAGTTGGAACATTAAGTCGCCGGTACCCCTTCAGATATTAAGACAATTACCAAAAATAGGGAAATGCTTCCAGGTCAGGATGTGAAGCCTTTGCACCGTCCTCATGCCTCTATTACTCATTAACAGCGGGGATTTCTCTTGACATCGGAAGACCGAGTAAAATGTCTGGGAATGAACTTCACCATGCTCTTCGAATACAGTATCGCGGATGGCATGCCAATGCTACGTGTACCTGATGATTGGCAGTGTGGTTTTTTGCTCACCTGCCGGTTTCAGAATAATCTTTCAGAACTTTCATTCTTCAGGAAGTTTTCATACCCATAACTGATGGAAGATACTTCCTTTCGTAGAAGACTTCATCTTCGTGCAAAGTTATGGCCATGATTAAAACTTTGATGTAGTCCATGGTTTCCATATCGGTATTCGTTTCTCCAATGCAGATAATCCCTGTACGATCATTCGATTCATGATGCCGATCACGATACAAGAAAATTCGAAAAATATTTGTGATTTCACAAGAAGGACAGCTTATCGCAAGCTTATGACATACGGTAGTTTTGGTACGATTGAGAGGCTGCTGCCGGCAGTATCGCATCACTTAACGCGTGGTCTACCTCAGTCTCCAGCGATTTAACCCTGAGTGAGATAGCGATTCAAGAAATATTTACCCTTTGTGTTATTTTTTCTTAAAAATTGTGCTTTTTTCTATAAGAATAGCTCTCAAACATCCTAATATTTCACCTGTTGGTAGTGCGAAGAGGAAGTGGGGGTAACTACCTTGCCAGTCACAATATTATTATTGATTTGCAGTGCATTAAATTGCACTAAAATTTATTGTTGCAAAGCACATTGCAAATGTATCTACTGTACTGCAGCACAATTTCAAAAGTTTATTAATTACCACTACAGTGCACCATAGTACAAGTACTCTATAGTATGTACTGCACTACAAACGACAGGGTATGCGGAGTATTAAATTAAACACAAAACCGTACAGTGCATTACGCTATAACACTATACATTACAGTATAACTATGTCGAACATTACATAGTCTTCGTTTATACTTTATCCAAAGGTCGTTTCCTACCGTTCTACATATTATATTTTGCTGCATTAAATAGATCGTGATTTGTTGCAATTTGCGAATGCGATTCTTTTGTAACGATTGACGGATTACCTGTGACTGTAGGACAGCTGATGTGCCAACTTCTGCAATAAGCTGGAAATTTCCACCACGTCTGTTCCGCTGTACCTCAATTGCAGATTCTGCGACAACTGCGTCAGTTCGTACTGTTCGATGAAATCATTCAGGCGGTCGGCAAACGTTTTAGCGGTCAAAAACGATTTCCATACTTCCTAAAGCATCTCTGTAATGTGAAGAACAACGATGCCGGAGCCCACAGCGAAGAAGTGGCTTCTGAAACCCACCCACTTTGTCCTGTTTGCCAAGAGCAGGGGCTGACAAACCTAGAAGACTGCGTGAAAAAAAGAGTCTGGTGGCCTGATCTTCCTGGACACTGTGTTCTCAGGTGGATATCTCACTTCTTTCAAAAATATCCGCTGACGTCCAATTAATGATTATGTCGGATAAAATAAACACTACCCCAATGTCGATGTGTAATCGAGGATAACAGGTTCATCTCTTGGCGAACGATGCT